CCAAGTGCATATTTATGTTGAATAAGGCTGCTTCTTCCAAAATTGTGAATTTCATGGCCCCAGGGTCAGGGTTTCTAGTGCTAGGGCAGTGCTATAAAGATTATATAGTGAAAATGAATTATTTCTTTGAAAATCTTCTTTTCTATGCCTGGGTATTAAACCATTGAATAATGTACATAGTTATGAGGAGGAAGGATGCCTCTTTGAGATTTGTGAGTTTCAGGGCCCTTGGGTCAGGGGTTTTTGTGTTAGGGTGGGGCACTAATGTTTACATAATGAAAATGCATGAATTCTTTGAAAAACTTTTTCTTTGCTCCTGGGTATTATGCCAATGACCTAAGTAAATATTTATGATGAAGAAAGCTGTCTTTTCCAAAATGGTTAATTTTCGGGCCCCTGCGTCCGAGGTATTTGGAGGGGGTGTACATACGAGTAGTCTGAAAATGAATTAATGCTTTGAAATTTTGTATCAATCAACAATTTATGATGAAATAAAATTCATGATAAAATTTCCAAAATTTTGAAATATATAGCCCCAGGCTCAGTGGTTCCTGTCTGGACGTGCATTTTCTCTTTGTTACTCTGATCTACCTCTGGGTAATAAGTAATCAAAGTAAACATTCTAAGTGTGTAGTTATGATATACAATGGTGCCTCTTTCAAAATTGTGAATTTCATGGCCTCTGGTTTAAAATATTAATCAAATTCATTTAATTGTGGAAAGTTGTTACGGGATACTCAGGTAACCTATAAGGCCCGTGGGCCTCTTGTTGCGGTATATACAGGAAATACAATACACACCGAGAAGGTTCTTGTAATGATATTAAAAATTCCTCCAAAACTGGCAAAAATTTACATCTGATCATGAGTGAATAATAGTGCAACCTTCAGAGGTATCTTTAAATAAAAAAAACTTCCCTTTTCAACACTTTTTAGCCCACAAACACCTGACCAATGGTTGCTGTTACATCCCCTTTCTTCTGAGATTTTATAGACACTACCTTTGCAAATTAATGAACTCTTAGTCTATCAAGCCATTACTTCGATATAAAGTCATAGCACATACCGTCCAAAAGTTAATGCCAAAGTAAAAGTGTGGAATTTTTTTGTAAAAGTGTGTCAAACTCCAAGGTCAATGTCAAAAGGTCAAAATTGGTTGTACACAAAAAAGGTCTTGTCACAGAAATACATCCCTATCTTTTAAAGAGAAGTTTGAAACTTCATTCATAGGAAATCAAATATTTTAATATAATATCTAATTTTCTAAGCTAGCGCCCTTTTTCGCGCCAATTTTAAAAGTAGGGATCAAAAACTTTAAACTTTTATAACTTGATTTTGATTTTTGCGAATTATTTATCCAGGGTAAAATTAAAGAGGTTTATAATTAATTATGAAACTTTTTTTGACACCAGCTAGAAAATAACTTTTTTTAAGGTAGGATTCTTCTCTAGTTTCTGACTAGATGAAATATTCAAAGTACATTTGCTTATATGTCTTATATAATTATTTAGGTGTGAGGGATTTAAAAGACCATATTTTTCTTTCCTCATCACAATTGTACAACTTTAAATAAAAATGGTAAACTGCGTTTGAAAACTAGCAGGGACTACACATGTATACATATTTTTGGCGGAATGGCGGTGTATGAAAATATCTTATAAACTGCCTCTCAATATTATTATTGAACGTTGAATTTGGTTATAATTTTTACGCAATGAAAGACTAGACGAAATGTTCAAATGCAAGGTAAAATAATAATAAGGGACTAAAGTTTCAAAATATATCAAATAAATAATATTTTTCACACATACTAGAACTATGTTGGCTTTTAAATGCTTTGAATCTAAGTACATATTTGAGCCAAAAATCCGTAAAAAGTGTTTATTTCTCTCTTAGTAAACGATCAAACAAAGTTTTTGTATAATTTTGTACCTTTATGTGACAACTGTACCATATGTAAAATGAGAAAAAGTTAAATATAGGAAGCATATAAAAATAACTAATATATCCTAGAAATTTAAGAAAAGTAGAGGAAATTCGGATTAGCAAATATCCATTTTATTTGAATTATCTATGTCACTTTGGTAATATCATCTTATAGGCCCTATATGGTAAAATATTCATTCTTTTGAATTCCAAGTAGGGATCGCTTGATTGGAAACAGTAATTTTTTTTTAATTCTTAATGTCCTTAAAAGGTAATGATCTTGACCTGACCTTGCCTCTTATTAAACGGTCAAATTTAATCTCACTGATATACCATCACTTAGCGATATTGTCTTGTTGATTCTGTGAAAATTTCATTAATTTTTAAATACAAGAAATGTTAGAAGAATCCTACCTTACTGTATAAAATGTATTAAACGTTTCTACGAATGTGCGTATCTTTGCTCTAACAGCCTTTAGTTAGAACATTTTAATATTGTTTTCCCTCAATGGGGATAATTAATGTAAGGTATATATTGTATAGATTTGATTTCGTTATCTAAGCTTAAAAGCTTTCAGAAATAACACTTCAAAGCATAATGCAAGTTGATATTACCCATATACATTCGCCTAACAAGAATATTCCTACCAAAAGGAATGTTTTTGCATCAAAAAATGACAAGGGGTCATTATTCTACGGGATCATTTTTCTACAATGCACGCGGAGAAAAACGACCCCAAGGCCATTATTTCCACAGAAAAGTGGGTCATTTTTCTACGTAGTATATTGACCAGGGGGTCAAATTTCTACGTAGAAAAATGACCCCCGGTCAATATTCTACGGGGGTCACTTTTCGTCGTTACACCGGCACAACATAGAAAGGGACCACCTCTAAAATATATTCATTAAAATATTATAATATGAAGTGTATTTTTTAAAATGAGTTCATTACATCAATACATCAACAATGCCACATCTTATTATCATGATTTGCTACAAATCAAAATATTTGGAAACACTTCTTCAGACAAAGTAAAGTTAAGCACGTACTGTGTTTTTGAACAACGTGGATCCACTGGTTTTAGATCTATAGATGTATTTTCAACCAGCAAAAAAGAGAGCGATGCGATCAATCTTATGAGATTCATTTTTATGTACGTCAATATACTGTATTGTAATTTCCTCATACACACTGGTAGATTTTAATTGAATACAATATATTATGCTAAGGTCTGACCTCCTTCGTTCTCTCTATTGTGAACGATATGCAATAAGCTGTTTCTCAACACACTATCACACACCGAATTCACAGCATCTCTTTGATTAAAAACTTGGCAGACCATTCTATACGTGTCAGGGTATGTAATTGCGTATCAAGTTGCCAAGCTGTTTTATGTTGTTGTTTCTTTTTTTATTCTTTAATGTTCTTCGTTTAATATTGTACTTTTTTTTTTACATGTTAAGCGCTTTTGGGTACTCGAATAATTTCAAAAGGCACTAAATAAAAGTAGTATAATCTTTATAATGAAAATAAGATGTGTTTGTGAAACACTGATACCCTCTTAATGGTAGCTTTTGGCGAAAGTTGAAGTTTCTCAAATGAAAGTCAAATTCCAATGTCAAGAGATGAAAATATGTTCTTACCCAATAAATATACTTGTAAAATATGACTCCCAAGCACCAACTATTCAAAATTAATGATAAAGATTAAACTTTTTAAATCATGAATTAAACTCTAAGATCAATGTCTAAAAGTCAAATTAAAAGTGACCAAGTAAACGGCCCTTTCATAAGAAATGTACATTAATTTTGAAACATAAGAGTCATAGCACCATTTGTTCAAAAGTTGTTACCAAGGTTAATGGTTTCAAAGTGTGTCAAACTCTGAGGTCAATGTCAAAGGCAAGCATTGTTTGTATCCGATCAAAGGTCTTGTTACAAGGCATACATCTGTGAAATATAACGGTTCCTGTACAAACTGTTCAGAAATTTTGGCCCAAGTAAAGGTGTTTTAAGTAGATAAAAGTCAAGGGTATAATTAAGGTCAAAAATACACATGTGAAGTGTGAAAAATATGGAGATAACGAACAGTATTCAAAGTAAATTAATCAAAACAAAATGAGATCCTCATTTTTCAGTAGTTAAAATAAACATTGAGCCATTTTGAAAAGTGTACCATTTCGCGTTTTCCTCCAAAATTAAAAACAAACAAATTTTTTCAGCGTTACCTTTAAACTAGGAAACTGTTTAGACTGATCACAACTACAATGAACCTTATGTATCAATGGGTAGAGAGGGGGTTAATGTTAGTATAATTTGAAGTGTAGGTACTTTTACAAATGTGCTTTAGTTCAATTTTGTAAGTATATGTAATTTGGAGAGGGAATAAGATATCAGTTTCCTCGTATATGCAGACTTTTCCCTGTTATAGACATCTGTTGAGTGCAATCATACATAATATTAATTGCATTTTTAGAAATAAAAATAAACGATATATTCAAAGAGGGCAAAATTTTTCAGGAAGTCATTTTTATATACTCATTTAAAACAAAGTTGTAGAATATGGATCTTTTCAAGGTTGTTATGATAGTCATTTCTTTGGTTCATAATGCAAAACAGTTAGGTATAATTCCTATAGAACCTAAGTGTAGCGATTCTGTTTCTTCTGAGTAAGTACATGTTGAAGTTTTAATACGTTTTTCTAAGGTTCATTTATTAAGTCACATAATAAATTAAGAATTTGTATTTTATAAGGAATTCCCGATGTTGTACTTCGTATAGAACTATTGGAGGAAAATGTTACCGTAAGTTGTACTTTAAATTGATTGTTACATTAAACACGTTTTAAAGGTATCTTGAAGTTCAAGAAATTTGTAGGTAATAAAATGACAAAATTGGTCTTAATTTCTAAGACTCACACGATTAAAGTTACTTTACCTTATACAATTATACATTACCAAGAACATTTGAATCTGTCGTATTTGTGCTTTTTTATCTCAAGTAATGAAATTCATTTTCTAATTCCATATGCATAAGAATGAAATAGTCATTGTATTCTTTTATCAAGCATGCATAGGGTCATTTGGAATAGAATGCAGCAAACTGTGTCCCAAAGGATATTATGGCCTTAAATGTCAAGATAAGTGTGAGTGTGACAGGTGTAATGCTACGACAGGGAATTGTTTTCATGAGGAAAATTCATCAAGTACGCACCTCATTAAAATTTAATGTTAAAAAACATTTTTAGTACAAAATCTGCCAAGAATTTTTATTCAGCAACACAATTAAGTTTTTATTTATCAAGTTGAACCATATCCAATCTCACAAAATTAAACATTTTTTATAATCTTATAACATCATTAAGGATCTTAAATCAAAACCATTAAATCATTCACTCTGCAGCGACAGAATAATATCAAATCATGTCCTTGAATGGAAATTAATGCTGCATGCAAGGGTCATTTATAGTAAGGAATTGAGCAGAAGGTTTGACGTGAAAGAGATAATTATTTCATGAGCAATACCAAATCAAGATGTTTCTCAATATACTCACGTTAATATGAGTAAATACATATTTTTTTTTAAAATTAAGAATAAATTTTGCTTCAAAATGATTGAATTTATATTGTTTAACGTCCCTCTCGAGACTTTTTCACTCATATGGAGACCCCACCAATTGCCGGTGGAGAGCTGCAATTTTTGACCTATACTCGGCACTCAGGGCCATTGAGCAGGGAGGGATCTTTTTCGTTCCAATACCTACTGTGACACGGGACCTTGGTTTATACGGTCTCATCCGAAGGACCAGACTCTACGTCCCACAGTGGGATTCGAACCCGCAACGTTAGGATCAACTCCTTACCTTGCGACTATAGAGCAGACGCTTTGACCATTGCGCAACACAGGCAACGCTTCAAAATGACAGTTGTTCACATATAATCATATTCCTGCTCATTTCTAATTTTCTAGGAATGTCCGTGGCTTGCTTGGCATTCTTTGCAACTGGATGTGTTTTCTTTGTTGCAGCACTAATAACTTGTCTCTGTGTAAAAAGGTACATCCTTCATTACATTCATATTAGATATATTGCTATAAAACTGCAACGCACCTGTTTTATTATTGGTGAAAAAAAACGAATTATTGTCAAATTCATGACTTTTAGAAAAAGGTATTTATCTCAGAAAAGTGTAGCTGAAATGACTATCTTTAAATTTATCAGAATAAGTGTGACAACATATAAAATATATATAATATTATATATAAATATACAATACATTCACATTTATTTATCTGAATGAAATATGTTTTTTAGTTTTAAAACTATCATTTTCACAGACAGTTTTCCGGGAAAAGGTATGATAAATATGTACAAGATAGCCGTTCCCTTGGTGAATCAGCTTCTCAAATCTACACAAGAATGGAAGAAAACGTATATCAGGAATGTGAGCAGACATCAACAATCTATAATGATTCAACTAATTCGAGTTGCCTTAGTCAATATGACAGATCTCATCTACTCGAACGAATAAAAGAAAACAAAGCAAAACCATCCATACTGTCTCTCCTGAGGTGGAAAAAGAGATGTTCCGGGAAAACTTTGGCAAAGTCAGGATACATATATGTAATTGGATCACAGGAACACTTAACAGAATCAGCCTCTGGATCAGGAGAAGCACCACTCCGGCTACGAGTAATACCAGAACCACCCACTCAACCAATGCTACCTCTTCCATTATCAAGTTCACACATTGCAACAGCAACAGTCCCTACATAACACTACTATTGGACTTTTGCAAGAAGCACCGACTTTTACAGTTGGCGGTACACTTTGACATTTACACCTGCGTCATGTATGGATATACATAATTGATAATGGATAAGAAAACGTTTCTAGTGGTAATGGGTAGGGTTTTAGGGACTCTAACATGAGAAGGGCGGGAGTTAAGGCTAGGGTGGTTGTTGTTTTCGTCAAAGGCATCTTATTTGCGCTTTGAAATAAACCCTTATTTTTCGTTATATAAATGTTAAGCTCCATCTAAATAAGTTTATCTCATAGGCGTGGATGACATTACCTTTTAACTTATGCTTTATTCACGGGTAGATGTTTTTTCAATAGCACTTCCGGTTTTGACACGATCCCTCGCTTCAATATTTTATTTATTGAAGCCTTTATTTGTGAAAACCCTTGCCCTCATAAAATGAATGATAAAGGGCAATAATGTCGTTAACAGCAAGAAAAAGATTCGAATAGGCCTATGACAAAGAAGTGTCTTAATTTATCAAGGTACCTGTATATTGGCTACTTGAAGATGGATGTTATTATCATAACCGGGTCAACCTCATTCTGGACTCCAGCCTAAATCTTTAAATATTGTTTTCCGTAGGTAATTTATCCCAACATCTGAACTCTGGTCACTCCAATCTCATTGGTTGCTTCTTCCTCCTAACCAAATACATATTCCGATAAACAAGTAAACAACCGCATTCTACTGAAACCGCATGTTCAGGGAATCGTTCGATCAGGTTAAAAGGTCACCCTATTGCGGCCAGCTGCAGAATCTTTGTTTATTTTTAGTTCTTCAGAGCTAACGTTATCTGCCTCAGCCAAAGAGTGCAAATACACAAAAACGTGTTACAATCTTATTTTACTGCAATTTGTGTTATGATAAATTCCCCCTACTGTCGAAAATCTTGTCCTCAAGATTTGTTTAAAGTACTTATGATTCATAATACAGTAATCTCTCTTGCTGCGAATTTTACTTAAAACCGAATACTCAAAGTGATATTCATTTGATATTATCGCGCCGACTTTAACTTTATTAATTACGTATTTCAGATGGCTTTAACATAGACACATAATTATTACTTTAAATTATGCAATTTAAATACACACACAAAGGTATAGAATTACAAAATACACTTTCCAAAACATTACAATATTTAAATACAACAAACACGAAAAATACTATGTACACTTTTCTTGGATGCTTTTTTTTCTCCCTTTTGGCAGTGGTGGCACCTTTTTGTCGAAAAATACAGTAGTGATAAAAAAATGTTACAAAGCTCGATTCACAAAAACAAATGCTTTGACAATTCATGGAACATAAACACTCTCATTGTATGGATTAAGACACTTTTCGCAAAAATATCATTGTCGTTGAAGGTACCCCTTTTTCACAATTGACAAAAAAAATATGTTTTTCAACAGAACCGAAAAATATACACTTTTATTACAAGACATGATCCCTTTAAAATACATATACATTGTAGTCCTATATCTGACGCGTACTCTCTCTCTCTCTCTCTCTCTCTCTCTCTCTGCTTTGAAAAAAAACTTTAAAAGTTAAGTCATTATTACTTATGAAAGGAGAAATGATTCTCGTAATTATTCGGAAGAATGTAAAATATTTACATGTATATCCCTTCCATTACTATCATTTTCCCTTCAAATATTTCTCACCAAACCCCTTGTTTGGTTGACTATTATAAAGCCCCGACTTAACCTTTAACCTAAATGAATGGTATAAGGGTTTCCCTTTACTATCTTTCAAGGCCCTTAAAATTCTCATTTATAGGTTTTAATTAGATTCTCTCGCAAGAGTATGTGACTTTACTTTCAACCTAAATGAATGGTATACGGGTTTTCCTTATTGTTCAAGGCCCTTCCCATTTAGGATTTATTTGTAACTTGGTTAACCTATACAAATGGTCAACGGGGCTTCCTTTACTATCGTTCAAGGCCCTTCCCATTTATAGGTTTCTTTTTCTTTTGATTTCGTCTCATAATTTTAAGAACACTTCATTTCTCGTTTTGCAAGTACCTTTGTATTTTTAACCATGCATGTAATACACTGTGCGTCAACAATATTATTTTCAGGTAAAATTTAAAACATTGCCCATGTAGAAAAAATATTAACAATATGACAACATTATAAATACCATCGACGTAAAAAAAAATTCTTGCACATGTTAAAGGTAGGCATTTTGACAAAAAAAATTCTATCCTATCTGTACTTAGTTTCATTTTTTTTCAAAGTATTTCTCATAGGACTCAATATTAAACTGTCCAATCGTTGGATATTCTTGAAATCGGCACTTGGAATCGGAAGCAGGGGCTCCGGTACAGAACTATTGTAGTTATCTCAAATATTAAACTGTTCGTGTTTCTGGCCACCAAAGGACGGGATGGTAGTAGTCGTATCGAAAGTATTTTTAGCACAAGAGTTTTTAGTTCGTTTTGGCTGTTGCACTTTGGACTCGTGGTTGGCACAAGTTTGCTAAATTGGTAAGTCCTAGTTCTTTCTGCTCAGGGAGTGTCAAGTCACTTGGCTTCGTCGATGGTCTGACGGCTCTGGTCCGCGTCTCGCCTTTATTCGAGTCCTCTGTCCGAAAAACCAGTGGGATGTTGCTAGCTTATCCCCGTCTGGGGGGGGGGGACTTAGAAACTTAAACTTAAAAACTTAGAGAACTGTCAAAGGCTATTTCCTTCTTTCTGAATTTGAATGTTTTTAACTTTCTTCTCAATCTGCAGTCAAGCAAACCGGATTCTCCAACCACCTATCATAACCGGGTCAACCTCATTCTGGACTCCAGCCTTAATTGATGCTAAATCCTAACCAGCAAAGGTTTAGGAAGGCAGAGTCCCGAATGACATTGGGCCGATCATGCATATGTTTGATATCCACCAGGATCCTATTAAATTCTGCCGTAAAGGGTTAACCAACTTCCTTCTGATTGATTGATTGATTGATTGATTGTATACTGTTTAACGTCCCTCTCCAGAATATTTCACTGATATGGAGACGTCTTTCTGAATCTGTTAAATTAAAGTCAAGTTAAAGGACTCTCCACCATTTTTCATAAAAAAGAAATAACAATTTAATTGCTCGGTTTTCATAATCTGGTTTATCTCATTCACTGGAACTCGTGAAGAGGTACTGGGATTACTCATTCTAGCTCTTCATCTTTATTATTTAATTCATTCTGAACTCTCACTTGGCTTGTGGAGGTACCGGGATGGATCAATTTCGCTATTCTCTTTTATTTTATAATTCCTTTTAAATTTGTGGACCAGAGCGGCTGCCATGGTTTGGGAGTGGCGGTGTTACCCAACCTGTATGAAATGCAACCAAGACAGTCAAGACTCAGCTTTCCACTCTTTATTAAATTGAACAATCTAAATAGTTTCACACAAAATACTAAACATCATACTAAACATTATTAGTTCTAATATAAAAAATGTAACCTGATAATAAATTAATGAAGCCATGTGAAAATCTAAATAATTCGAAATAAACCGCGCAAGTTTTAGAAAATTATCTCACCTGTATGAAATGCAACCAAGACAGTCAAGATTCAGCTTTCCACTGAAATCCTGTCTTTCCCGGTCGTTCATTTCATACTAGGTTTACGTTTGTAGATTTTCATCTCCATATTTGTAACTTCTCAAAATTTGCAATAATTACTTTTTATTTTTAATTTGAATTTTAATTTCTATTATTCTAACCTTTAGCACTTCTTAAATTTTTAATGCACTTTTAAAATAATTTCCAATCTTTTGCATAATCTTTAAATATTGTTTTCCATAGGTAATTTATCCCAACATCTGAACTCTGGTCACTCCAATCTCATTGGTTGCTTCTTCCTCCTAACCAAATACATATTCCGATAAACAAGTAAACAACCGCATTCTACTGAATCGCATGTTCTGGGAATCGTTCGATCAGGTTAAAAGGTCACCCTATTGCGGCCAGAATCTTTGTTTATTTTTAGTTCTTCAGAGCTAACATTATCTGCCTGAGCCAAAGAGTGCAAATACACAAAAACGTGTTACAATCTTATTTTACTGCAATTTGTGTTATGATATTATCCCCCACCCCATTTAAATCGTTTTCGGAGAAAGTAAAAGCCTAGCAGTTAAGTCGTTGTTATAAAATTTCTTTAACATCTTCAACAATGCTTTCTTATATTATACTACGTATGTCTATCTAGTAATGAAGGTGTAACTTCATGGATCAAGAATAAATCTACAAGTAGGCCTAACCTTGCCTAGGCCTAGCACGTTCTGTACTGCCACTGTACAAAGAGTTAATTTTCACGATCCCTTGGTCCTTACAACTTTCAGTCAGAAGTTCGTTTGATGAAAAGCTCCAGCAATTGTAACATAATGTTTTCAAATACGCAGATAGCAAAAATTCTAAATTTAGAAAACGATCTACTTTCTTTTGAGAGCAAGTCAACATCAACAGTGCATTAAGTTAAATGTCATCAATTTGAATTAGAAATCATCCATGTAGTTTCACAGGGGAAGTCTCAAAGTTTTGTTAAAAATGAAAGTCGTCTGAGATAAAAAGAACATCTATAATTGTGTGATTTGATACTGGGTTTTTCCCCCAACTCATTGGATAAAGCCAATATCAAATCACACAATATAGATATCCTCTGGGTACTTTAGAAGAGCTTGCATACATAGCCAAGTGTAAAAATAAGCCACCAACTGTAAAAGTCAGCGCAAATTGCAAAAGTCCATTACCACCACTGGCTGCAATCAAGCAAATTAGATATTGATACATGTCTTTGACACATAAGAAGCTCTTTGATGATTTTTCAAAAGAAAATAAAATCAAAAAAAGTGAATTTAAAAAAATACAATTTTGATTTAATACAGTACATCAATTTGATTTTATATCAAATTTCATCAGTATTTTTTACTTTTGTTTTCCATAAGAACAAATGTATCATAACAGCATCTTGTCAAATTTAAGTGTAATACTGTATATTAAATTGATAACGCAATGTTATCCAGTGGGGCGAGTTGTTTATTGTACTACTTAATTATCGTATTTACTGGAACAGCAGCAATATTTTTTTCTACATCTGATTCAATGATACGATAATAAAAATAAGTAAACCAATCTTTATCATCGTATATGTTTACGTTTGCTGAAATCTAAAAAAAACGTAAAAATGTAAATGAATGCGTTTCTGAGGAGG